TTTTGTACTTTACAACGCTCTGGAGTTATTGGAAATGTTTGGATCAGATGAATTGGAAACAATTCTATGCAGCCACCACTGGAATCGTGATCTGTGAATAAATGGATCTGTTATGATAGTATAAATAATAATAAACATAGTCACCGTCGCTAAAAAAAAGCCTAATTAGTTTGTTTTATTTCACAGTATCAGTCTTGTCGGGGCTAAAATTAGCCTATATACATTAGCTATAACATTACACTAGCATAAAAATAATAGACTAATAACCATTATTATTATGGCTATTTTGTCATAACATTGAAGTAAGCTATTATTGATAACAGCCAGGCTGTTTTTCTAGCCAAACATAGCCTACCTGGAACTGTGGCAGATTGAATGACAGCAGTTGTTGTATTGGAGGTGTCCACCCGGCTTTTTTACGAACAGGAATTTTAGCTTAGCAATAGAATATAAAAACAACTAGAACAAAAGTTGCTAGGCAACAGTGACGTGCATTTTCAAACGTGGGAAAAAGTCGCAAAAGCAGAAATTATACGCCGTCTATAATGCGAACGGTCAATTTGACCGCTTTGGCCATTCAAGGTAGAAATATCTCTTTTGTGTTTTGTAACTTTAATAAAATAACAATGTTATAATAAAATATACACACATTTAGGAAAAGTCAGGGTATTATAGTTATATGGGTTTTATTTCAACAAAGTTATTACATTTTAAAATTTAAAAATGGTCAAAATGACTGCCTTGGTACTACAAGTGGTAGATCTAGTGTTAAATTATCAATATGAAACATTCTAAAAAATGTCCCCGTTTAGGTTGTGGTTCATGTGTGTTTGTGCTGTGAAACCTTTACTTACTTATTTTATAAAATAAAATGTTTTTAGTAATGTTTTAAGATGAACACTTGCCGGACTGAAGCAACTTAGGTTTATTGGATTACCTATACATGGTATTTTTATCTCTTTTGTGTTTTGTAACTTTAATAAAATAACAATGTTATAATAAAATATACACACATTTAGGAAAAGTCAGGGTATTCTAGTTATATGGGTTTTATTTCAACAAAGTTATTACATTTTAAAATTTAAAAATGGTCAAAATGACTGCCTTGGTACTACAAGTGGTAGATCTAGTGTTAAATTATCAATATGAAACATTCTAAAAAATGTCCCCGTTTAGGTTGTGGTTCATGTGTGTTTGTGCTGTGAAACCTTTACTTACTTATTTTATAAAATAAAATGTTTTTAGTAATGTTTTAAGATGAACACTTGCCGGACTGAAGCAACTTAGGTTTATTGGATTACCTATACATGGTATTTTTTTTTTTTTTTTTTTTTTTTTAAATCACTGATAGTCACAAATGTGAATATCAAATATGACCAAGCTTTTGATTAATTTTTATTTGTACATTTCTCAATCGGCATTGCATTATTTATATGTTTTGACCCCTACAATAAAAACTACAGAGCATTTAAATACCATCTTACTAATACAAATTATTGGGAAATATAGAGTGACATCTGATATTTATATGCATTTTATATAAGTAATCTACTATAATATTATAAAGACCTCATTGATTTACATTACAAGCTATAAGCAGATTTTCTCAGTTTGGACACCTGAATAAAATTTTGTCCTTCTCTAATATGAGCTCCATATTCCCACTATGTCATTCTGAGTCATAAAAGCTTGATGTGTCAAATATGATAATCAAAAGTCCATTCCATATCAAAATATTTTGACTATTATTTCACATTTTAGGCTTTACAGGGTTAATCTCAGGGGGTACTTGAGGTAAATATTGTTGGTCAAAGGGTTTCAGCTGGCATAAAAAAAGCTTGGAATTCATGAACTGATGAAATGCATACCTTGAATGCAATGCATGTTGTTTTGGATAAAAGCAACAGCCATAAATGCGGGTGTAGGCATAAATGTGAATGTAGTCAGCATTCTGTTTAAAATTGTATGTCACTAATCATTATTGTACTTTTCCACAGGGTCACATGCGTGAGGGCAAGTGCCACCTGCTGCTCGGCAATGCTATGGCTGCCAGCCGCTGCTTCCAGAAGGTTCTAGAGCTGGAACCAGACAACAGTCAGGTGCAGCAGGAGGTACATTGACTAAAAATACCAAACACCGTTACGTCTCATTGCAGGTGTCCATAATCGCCTCTCATTCATAAGGCCTCTGACTAGTGGTCGACCGATACTGGTTTTTTGACAGCCGATGCCGATATCTTGGAAAGCAGGATGGACCGGAGGAGAAGCGCAGCGTCGCGCCACGTCTTTAAAATTCAAACACTTTATTTTCTATGAGTGTAGGCACACCGGTGGCGCCGTTCGGCGTCTGTCCACGGCGCCCAGCTACGTCGTGTTGTACTTGTAAGAATTGTTCTAGACATGCCGAAAATTTTAAACGAATAAATGAAAGTTTTATTAACAAAAGTTGCGCTTTGGATCCGCCATCATATAGTGTCAGTCTTCCCGCATCACTCTTGTCACGTGACCCGGTTTTATTTCTCAGCCCCCCCCAGCTCAAAATACGTTCCCGCGGCTATATCCCGCCTTGAACACATCGGCCAAACAGGAAAACTTATCGGCCAATGCCGATATTTGAAAAATGCCAAATATCGGCCGATATATCGGTCGACCACTACCTCTGACCTCCTGTGTCTCTTGCAGCTGAAGAACGCAGAGTCCATACTGGAGTTTGAGCGCTTGGCTGAGATCAGCTTTGAGAAGCGAGACTTCAGGATGGTGAGTGTGTTTGTATTACTCTTCTAGCTGCTGAGAGTCTGATGTACAGGTGAATATAAGTGTGTGTCTCTCTGTAGGTGGTGTTCTGTATGGATCGGGCATTAGAGCCCGCTTCTGCGTGTCACAGGTTCAAGGTTTTGAAAGCAGAGTGTCTGGCTCTGCTGGGACGCTACCCAGAGGCCCAATCTGTCGCCAGGTAACAGCACTATAGTGTTACGGGAAATGTTTAGTTAATAGTTAACCGATATATGGTTATTCAAATTAAAGCTATGTTGATATAAAATTATTCGGTGATAGCAAATGAAGTACAGTATCTCTTTTTGCAGTATAAGCCTGTTAAAACAGGAAGTGTGCTTTTAAGTTTTATTGTATTTATTTTTAAATGAATGTTTTTAAAAGGTCTCACCACGTACAGTATTTTTGTGCACATTTTCTATATATTATAGACAGATGTACGTCTGCTACTGCCCACATAGTTTTCATCAGTGGCAGCTCCTGCCAATTCTTTTAGGGGGGGCAATTCAATTCTATTCAGTTGTCACCCATTCAATTGATAAATTAACGGCTAGTTAAAGATGTAAAGTAGGCTTGCCGCGATAGACGGTGCTGACGGTGATACCGGTGTTAAGCCGCAACACTGGTTACGTCACTTGCCCACTGCGTCACCGACCCCCACCGTCGTTTTGATTTTTTTATAGTAATAAAAATCATTTAGTTCAGTAAAAGAACAGACACTACAATTAAAAACTGAACGCGGCTGCTCAATGCAGCGTGCTGAACGACAGTCGCATCACAGATCAGATTTAATTTCTCCAGTGAGGAGAGTGAGTCGAGCTGACTGACAAGAAGAGTGAGGTGAGACAGACAAGAAGAGTGAGGTGAGACAGACAAGAAGAGTTTTTTCTTGTTGTTAAAATTCAAAATAGTTTTTAAATATTATTGGATGTCACTGTTCCCACCAATCCTTGCACAAGTTAAGGTTACGCATGATGACGAAAGCACGTTAGTGCTAGCCCTCCCGGAACTCATAGAGATTGCATTGCAGTGCCTGCAGTTCGAAAAAAAATGATCTTTGCATGGAAGTCTATGAGAGCACTCGGGGCGATTCTCAGTCTGACAGAAATCGCCCAAAAAGGGGCGGTACTACACGAAACACGACTCAACGCTAATTGGACTATTTAGAGGCAGAACAAACAGTCTAGAATAGTGAAAGCTAGCGTAACACTGTGGTTGAATGTGAAAGAAAAAAAAAACCTCCCTTTCGCGCTTTGGTGGTGCATCGCCCTAATGGAGAAACCGCTCCTGGTTTTCATCATCCTTTGAAAAATCCATATCAGTTGACCACTGATGTATATTTTCTATCTCACTCTTGCTTTTTGCATCTTCAGTGACATATTGCGGATGGATTCCACCAATGGCGATGCCTTGTATGTGCGGGGATTATGTCTGTATTACGAAGACTGCATTGATAAGGCTGTGCAGTTTTTCATTCAAGCGCTGCGCATGGCACCAGACCATGAGAAGGCCCGTCTGGCCTGCAGAGTAAGTGTATTTGAATGCATTATAAGTATTCAGATTAAGGTTCTAGTTCAGCCAAAATTGAAATTTTGCTGAAATTGTACACTCCCTCGGGCCATCCAAGATGTAGATGAGTTTGTATATCTATCCTACCATATTTGGAGAAAGTTAGCTTTACATCACTTGCTCACCAATGGATCCTCTGCAGTGAATGGGTGCCGTCAGAATGAGAGTCCAAACAGCTGATAAAAACATCACAGTAATCCACAAGTAATTGATGTAACTTCTGTCTATCAGTGAAGCGATAAGCTGTGTGTTCATAGGAAACAAATCCATCATTAAGGCATTTTAACTTTAAACGGTTGCTTCTAGCCAAAGTGTAAGTTTTAATCCATACAATTGTTCTCTCCAGTAAGAAAAAGTCCTTCCCCTGTTGTTCTCTCACATCAGAATCTGTCGACATATTATTTTAGAACTGCATTGTGGAAGTGATTTTAAGCTACTGAAATGCAAACAACAGTGCTATGTGCATGCGCTGTATGTGAGGCTGTTTCTAAGCGAGGCACGCGCACATGAAGACGCTGCTCATAGAGTGCATGAGTTTTTGTTGCTTTATAGGCCTTGAGCGGTTAAATACACATGTATCAAAATGACAGTCTTTGCAAGCATTCTCGTAAACGGTCATTTAGGTCTTAAAAGAAAGTGAACAGCTGAGAAAGAAAACACACGTGTAAAGTTATATTGGATTCGGATGTTCGGTTTTAAAAGGGAAGCAGCCTTATTCCTCCTTTCTGTCATTCATGATGATCACACAACAGTGGAAAAAAAATCTCTCACTGCTCTAGACTAAATCTCTCATCTCTTTTATACTTTAATAAGAAGAAATTTTATTTGCACAGTGAAAACTGTGTTTTTTATTTCATTTATACAATGTATGTAGTATTTCTTATTGTAGTTTTTTGCCCAATTGCTTTTAATTGGTTACTTATCTTCAATGAGCTTGACTTTTCTTTTTTTTCTTTTTTAGGCTTGTATTAGTTTTTCTGTGATATTGACACTGGTGACAAGAAGGATGAAAATTCTATGGTATCGAAAACTTTGATATCATAAAAACCTTATTAAAAGCAAAAATAACTATATCGTGATATATTGTTAGTGATTATCGAGAAAATGACTTGTATCGCGATATAAGATTTTGGTCATATCGCCCATGCCTAGTTTGAAGTTAATGTTTTAATGATGAGTTTATTACAGACATGCAGCTTCTTGCTTCACAAGATGTTAATTGATGCCCAGGAGTGGTGTTATTGTAATGTTTTTTTATCAGCTGTTTGGACTCTCATTTTGACGGCACCCATTCACTGCAGAGGATCCATTGGTGAGCAAGTGATGTAATGCTAAATTTCTCCAAATCCGCTGCAGTGAAGAAATACATTTGCCAACATCTTTTATGGCCTGAGGCTGAGTGTATTTTCAGCAAATTTAACTGTTCTTTTAAGTTTTAGTACAGTGTCTGTAAAGTATCTAATTGTTTCTCTGTTATAGAATGCTAAAGCCCTAAAGGCGAAGAAAGAGGAAGGGAATAAAGCATTTAAAGAGGGCAGCTTTGAGGAGGCATATGTCCTCTACTCAGAGGCCCTGACCATCGACCCAAACAACATCAAAACCAATGCCAAGCTGTACTGTAACCGAGCCACCGTCGGATCCAAGGTCTGCATTTGGTTTGAATACATTATCAGTATTGGAGTGCCCCACAAGGCCAAACAGTAGACCCTTTTCCCATTCTGAAGCTGGGTCACGTGTGTCTGTCTCATTTTGGTCATTGTTTGGCACTAACACATGACGTCTCTCTCTCTCTTCTCTGTGTCTTCAGTTAAACAAACTGGAGCAGGCCATTGAGGACTGCACAAAGGCTATTAAACTGGATGAGACCTATATTAAAGCTTATTTGAGAAGAGCCCAATGGTACGTCTGTGTTTCTACACACTTTAAACACATTTGAAACTTTATTTGTTGTTTAACCTGTTCATTTTGCACTGTAGTTACATGGACACAGAGCAGTATGAAGAGGCTGTCAGAGACTATGAGAAGGTTTATCAAACAGAGAAGACTAAAGGTGTGTGTTCATTTTGAATGTGCATTAAAATGTTTCATTTCCATTAATTTTTTCTGTGTGGTGTGTTTCAGAACATAAGAACCTGTTGAAGAACGCTCAGTTAGAGCTGAAGAAAAGCAAGAGGAAAGATTATTACAAGGTCCTTGGGGTGGATAAAAATGCCACTGAAGATGAAATCAAGAAGGCCTATCGTAAACGAGCCCTGATGCACCACCCAGGTACATATTTCATTGAAAGAATCACAGCGTTTTCTCCTTATACAGTCTATATCTGCAAATTCCCCAGAAGTCTGTTCTGTAGGCAGTAATGGGGCCACCAGTGTGTAAGAAAGTCCTAAAGTTTTTTTTTTTTTTCTTTCTTCCTGATTCTGTAACAGTCTCTCTTGTATTTTTCACAGACCGACATAGCGGAGCGAGTTCTGAAGTGCAGAAAGAGGAAGAGAAGAAGTTTAAGGAGGTGGGCGAGGCCTTCACTGTGCTCTCAGACCCCAAGAAGAAGTCCCGCTATGACAGCGGCCACGACCTGGAGGATGACGACATGAACATGGGTCTGTCTCCTTCACACATTCAGCATCTTCTCATTTCTCTTTCTGTCAACACTGTTTTATCCTGTAATATGGGTTTCATTAATGCTTCGTTTATTACGTAGTACTGTCTTTCAACTGAAACTTTTTCAATAAAAAAAGTCTAAAAATATTTTTTGATTTATGTATGGTGACTAATGATTTTGTTTCTTTTTATTTGCTCTTTTTCAGACTTTGATGCCAACAACATCTTCAAAGCATTCTTTGGTGGCCCTGGTGGCTTTAGTTTTGAAGGCAATTCATGTAAGGCAAACCTTTATTTACTTCTCATACATTTATTAATCCCATGCTCAGACTGTACAGTAAACCATTGAATTTCATTACTGTTGTGAAGTTTGTGGTTGGTATGATTTTTCATGGTTTTGAACGACTTCTCTTAATGCTCACCAAGGAATCATTTACTTGATCAAAAATGCAGTAAAAACATTAATATTGTGAAATATTATAGCAATTTAAAGTTTTCTATTGGAATATATTTTAAAATGCAATTCATTCCTGTGACGTCAAAGCTGAATTTTCAGCATCATTACTCCAGTCTTCAGTGTCACATGATCCTTCAGAAATCATTCTAATATGCTGATTTGATGCTTAATTAACATTATCAATGTTGAAAAGTTGTGCTGTTTAATATTTTTGTGGAAACCATACATTTTTTTCACAATTCTTTGAACAAAGTTTAAAATATCAGCATTTATTTAAAGTAGAAATCTGTTGTAACAATGTCCTCACTGCCACTTTTGATCAATTTAGACATCCTTGCTGAATAAAAGCATTAATTTCTTTCAAAATAATCGTACTGAACACAAACTTTTAATCGGATGTGTAAATGCATAAAATTAAGACTACTGTAAAAATACATTCTACAGCTGTTGTGATGTAGCTCATTTGTGTCAATATTTTCTCATATTATATTCAACTCTGATTCTTTTCTTTTCAGTGTCACTAAATGTTTGTTTTTTTTCCTGCAGCATCTGGACCTGGAAATTTCTTCTTCCAGTTTGGCTAACTTGGCAACTTTCAGCATGTATGCAGTAGTTTCACAACCTCTGAATTCCCCTGAACCGGACTACTCCCCTCCATCCCTGCTCTCTGATGTACTACACTCTGGTGTAATGGGCTTTCGGGCTCCACAGTTGGACCTGCGTCTGTGCCATTGACTTGTTTTACTGCTTACGCACAAAGACAACAACGGCAGGGGCATGACCATTCTGTACCAGAAAAACAACATGATGCATTGCACAGTTCTCTCTCTGATCGGTGTCCTTTTTGGCTCTTGTATTCCAGCTTTAGTTTTATTGTTTTGTTTTGCTTTTTTAATCCACTCTATCGAATGTACCCTGAATTCATTGTCATTTTCACTTTGTTCAGCTTTCAAAAGCTTCAACTACAACTTGAGTTGATGTTTGGGGCAACATAAGATGGTGCTACAGGCAAATCTGCTGTTTTTCCCAGGCTCACTCGAAATACTTTAATCTCATTTCCCATCCGCCCATAAACAGCCCCTCTCCCAGCATATTAGTGATCCAAATCCAAAGCACGTCAGAAAAAAACACGGGTTAGTACAGGAAGTCATCACTGCTAGTGCCGTATAGATTGTTTAAACATGTAGAAAGTCAGAATTCACGCAGATATTATATTTATGCAACGTTTCAAACCATTTTAAAGACCTCAGCAAGCTATTATGTGAATGCAGCACCTCATGCCAAATGTCACCGTAAGAATAACGCTGGTCCTGGGTTTCGTCAAGCGAGTGGATTGTTTGACTACTGCATACAGAGGTTCAGAGAGAGCGAGTTCACGCACCTGTTGACCACGTCCCTCTCTAAGATTCATTTGCCAATGTTGCCATTCAACCTCTTGCTGCATTGTACATTTTACTGGAATGTAAAGTGTTTCTTTGTGTTGATAGTTTATGACCGTTTAAATTTTTTTAACTGAAATACACTCACTTTTTTGATATATATATTTATTGTAAATTTGCTGGATGTGAGCTTTGGATGGATGGATGATATTTCAATACACTAGGATCTACACTCTTAAAGGTTAAACCCAGGGAGAGACTATGTTTGGCCAGCACTCTCATTAACTTCAGAATTAAAGAGCCTCTGGAGGGAGTGAATGTCAGAGATCTGGTTATTTGTGGGCTTGATACCATTGACTCCACAGTGTGTATAATATGGATCTGTGTACATTGCAGGCATGATCAGTGAGCCATGTTTACCGTTTTACCTAAATGTTCCTTGACATTGGATCGCTGAAGATTTGTTGTGCTCCAGCATTCTCTTGCTGTCTTTGACCTGACCGTGTACCCAGTTAGGAAACTGTGCAATTTAAGCATTTGTCTGGAATACGTTCATATTGCTCATCTTGAAAGATCTTCAGTGTATTCAGAAGACAACGTCCATGCTGACTTTGCTCACTCCGCTGGAACAGTCTTTACTATGGACCGTTTTTAAAAAGCCATGTAAATAAAGTAAGCCTCTTTCTGTTTTCCCCTTCACCACATTCTTAACTTCTCTGGCTCTTCTGATACATATTTTGTAGTTTATTTTGCATCACCACAGGCATTTTAACATTCTTGCTATATTGCTATATTAAAAAAAAAAAAAAAAGGTTAAAGAAACGTTTTCTGCATTAAATATGATCTTTATTTTACAATATATTTTATATTTTGGAAATTAAAAGTGTATATGTTACACCTAAGAATTTAAGATGGAATGACGTAGTACGTATTGGCATGTCAATCAAAGGTCTCTCGCCGTTGATTGGCTGCGCAGAGTTTTGTTAGGCGCGTCGCTAGGATACAGCGGACAACTTTCCCGGACTACGAGTACATTTATTTATATGTATTGAATGGTTTTGATGTAGTTTTGTATAAATACGCATAAAATGTCCGATAACGAGGAAGGACAAGGGCCGAAGAGTACTTTTAGCACCTATGTAGCTGAAGGTGACCAGCTGTTCCAGAAGAGGGAGTATGTCAAAGCTATTGAGAGCTTTTCCACGGTAAGCTAATAACTATAACTGGGTCTGGAGATTATGCGAAATACATTTTACATTTCTTACATTAAACTGAGTGCTTTATTTCACACTTTATAAGAGTCTTCTTTGTTGCCCACCAGGCTTTAAGTTTACAGCCGGATGATAAGAACTGTCTGGTCGCCAGATCCAGGTGTTATCTGAAACTAGGGGATGCAGAGAGCGCGCTGAAAGATGCCGAGACCTCCCTCAAAGACAACAAAGACTTCTTCAAGGTGTGTTCACCTGTGCTGCTAATTTCTGTTTTATCTCCTCGTTCGGTCCAGAAGGTTCAGTTTTGAGTCTGATCTGTATGTTCACTTGTCCTGAAGGGGGCGTACTTACATAATCTGAAACCGTATCAGATGATTCTGGCAAAAGTAGGGCATTGCCCCAGAAAGTATGTGGAGACTTGTGTTGTGGCACACTTAAATTTTGATCAATATTATTGCATTAGATAAAGAAATATTAAACCAAGTGACATTTATGTCACAAGCACGCTTTCGAATTTTACAAAAATAACATTGAATTAATAAACAAAATGTTCTGTTTAAAATTAAAACTAAAAGTTTTAAGACAAAAAGGACAGGTCAAACTAGTGAAACGTGAGCGACCATCCACTAAAGTCACCTAAAAAATAGTTGCAAACTAGAGAAGTGAAGTTAGTTCTAGGGAAAGTAACCTTTTCAGATTGACACTTAGCTTGGTATTTTTTATGTAATGCAATGAAATGAACAAATTTTTAAGTGTGGCTTAAGTATCCAAATACTTTTTGGAGCTACTATATATAAACTTTCTAAATTAATAATGTCCAATTCCAGTAAAAGCACTGAATTATCAGCAGTTATGTTTATTTTTCTAAATATTATATATATATATATATTAGTATAAACAATAAATATATAGTATGGGGTCAAATTTGGTCAAAATTTTAATTGATAGGAAAAGTGAAAAGGAACAGTAAAGACTTTTCACATTTTTCCAACAAATGTATTTCAAATAAATGTTGTTTTGAATTTCTATTCATCAAAGAAATCTCATGTTTTCCACAAAAATATTAAGCAGAACAGCTATTTTCAACATTATTAATAAAAATAAATGCTCCTTGAGCAGCAAATCAGCATATCAGAATGATTTCCGAAGGGTCATGTGACACTGAAGACTGGAGTAATAATGCTGAAAATTCAGCTTTGATCACCGGAATGAAATACATTTTACAATATATTACAATAAAAAACAGTTCTTTTAAACTGTAATAATATTTCACAATATTCCTGTTATTACTGGACTTTTAATGAAGTAAATGCAGCATTGGTGAACATAAGATACGTCTTTATATACATGGATTTACTTCTACACATCACTTTAAATGTAATATTTTTACTGGGTTATTAAACCAAGAGATTTTCAGATGAGTGTATATCATGTGATGGCAAGGAGCTGGCTTGTTACCACAAAGCATGTAATGTCATGTAAGAATTATGAAAGAACAATGAAAAATCAGAAACCTGTTTGGTGCCATTGCATGTTCCTCTAGGCGTCCAGTCCCTTTAGTTACTGTAACTGCTTTGTATGAAAAGCTTCTTTTAACAGATAACCTATGATTCTCCTTCTCCATCCTGTCTCCTGCAGGGTCTGTATCAGAAAGCAGAAGCTCTCTACACTATGGGCGATTTTGAGTTTGCTTTGGTCTACTATCACCGAGGCAATAAGCTGCGTCCAGAGTTGCAGGAGTTCAGGCTGGGAATCCAGAAAGCTCAAGAGGCAATCGACAACTCAGTGGGCAGTAAGTCCTCAGACAAAACATGATGAGAAATGTGGAGCTCATATTTTTTGTTACACGGCAAACAGACTTCAGTTACCCACATCTCTCACCCCAACCCAAAAGGTCCTTCCTCTGTGAAGCTGGAAAATAAAGGAGACTTGTCTTTCTTCCACAAATCTAATGGGGTGAGCTGGCTATATTATCTTCTCTATCTCTTGCTCACTCTCTCATTAAACCACCTGCCCTCATCATTCACCCTGCCACTGTTAATGCTTAATTTCAGAAGTTAGTAACACATATTTGTTTGCTTGTTCAAAGGTTCGTTCCAAGCATTTGAATCATTCTCATAAGAGGGAATCCAAAAAGCATTGCCAGAAGATGGGCAAAAATGAAAAAACAGCCAAGGAACTTCTGGGAGAGCTATACAGTGACAGAGAATACTTAGAGAAACTTCTACAAGATGAGGGTGTGTGTTTCAGGTTTTTTTTGTAGACCTTTTCAAATGTCAGATTGCATCTGTGAAAGTGCATATTCTATGAAGTTTCGCAATCTGCTCCTATACAGATCTTATAAAAGGTAAGATACGAACTGGAGAGCGTGTGCAAGATCTGATCGTAGGCTGTATCTCATATCTGGACACGCGGACGGCATTCTGGCAGCAGCAGAAGCCCATCTACGCTCGTCAGCGAGACAGAAAACTCATGCAGCAGCAGTGGAACCGGCTTCTTCACAAGCCTCCCTCAGACCCCACTCGATACGTCCTCGACAGTCTGGAGGAGATTGACACAGGTGAATCTCTGCAGAGTTTGGGACGGGTCAAAGTCCACAGTATAGGTTCCTAGCAAGAAATTTAGCATTAGTCGCATACTCATGTTACACTTGCTAAACCATACACTATCGTTCAAATGTTCGGGAGTTAGAAGAATTTCTTTATATATTTGAAAGAAGTCTCTTCTGCTCACCAAGGATGCATTTATTTAATCAAAAATACTGTAAAAACAGACATATTATTACAATTTAAGCAACTAATTTCTATTTTAATATATTTTAAAATGTAGTTTATTCCTATGATGGCAAAGCTGGATTTTCAGCAGCCATTAGTGTCACAAGATCTTTCAGAAATCATTTTAATGTGCTGATTTGGTGCTCAAGAAACAATTATTATTATCAAAGAAGAAAACAGTACTGCTTAATATTTTTGTGGATACAGGATACTTGTTTTTGTAACTTTATAAATTTCTTTACTGTCATTTTTGATCAATTTCATGCTGAAAAAAGTATGAATTCCTTTAAAAAAAAAAAAAAATCTTACTGACCACAATTTTTTTAATGGTAGTGCATGTAGATGATTTTTAGCTAATTGATGAGTGGCTGACTTTCATCAGGAACAACATTGAGGTTAGGGCGGGATTAAGTTTGGTTCCGCGAATTCACCACACTGACCAAAAGAACAGCTGCTTGGTTGGAAAGTGACTGTGAGATTTTAGACTTATGATCTTTGCCTGACGGACAACAACCCAGGCGAGAAAATTCTGTAGACTTGCACTGAAGGAGAAACCTTATATCAGAATCAGAATAATGTCTTATCAATGCTCTGGCATCACAGGACTTTTGGATGGGCAAGCACTACTCTACATAATTTTCAGAAAATGTTTTGTGTGCTATTGGATTTTTGAGTATTATCTCTTCAATTGACAGCCTTGAGTTCAGGCAACACAGATAGCGGTCTGAAGAAGGCTCGTGAGCTCATGAAGGTGGTGAAGGAATGGTCTGGGGAAGTGCTGCCCAATAAGAGAGAAGTGCTTGGGAACCTCCACAGCTGCATTGGTAGTCATATAATATCAATAGCACAAGAATGAGAAATATGAAACTCTTATGTTAAAAGTTTCTCTTATATTCTATGTAGGCAATGCACTGATGGATCTTGGGAATATGGACAAGGCTCTGCATCATCATGAGAAGGATCTGGAGCTGGCCAAGAAAGGGTAGGCAACCATGAGAGCAGGAAAGCTACCTTTCTGTTTTTCTTGGTTGGTTAATAAACTACAACTCATCCGGTGTGTTTGGTTTGTGCTTCGTTTCGTAGCGACCTGATGGACAGTAAATCCAGGGCTCTGGACAACATTGGCCGTGTGTACGCACGGATTGGCAAGTTTCAACAAGCTATAGAAGTGTAAGTGCATTTGCTTTTAATTAATATTGACTTTGGTGTTGATGTACACAGAGAAATCTATTGTAATAGTCATTTCATTTTGTTCTGTGTGTGTTTGCGTAGCTGGGAGGAGAAGTTGCCTCTAGTATGTGGCGGGTTAGAGAAAGCCTGGTTGTTCCACGAGATCGGCCGCTGTTACCTAGAGCTGAAACGCAACAGCGAAGCACGAGACTATGGCTCCCGCTCACTCATGGCTGCGGATGACATCAGCGATGAAAAATGGCAGCTCAATGCCAGTGTGCTCATGGCGCAGGCAGAATGTGAGTCCAAACTATATTGCCCAGGAAGCTTAATAGACTCTCTGACCATGAATAATCAAATTTCCCACATTGCTTCGAATCAATAGGAGTTAATGTGGTCGTTATGTATATTTGATCCATGCCACGCCGTACAATTAGATCATTTTACATCCTCTTTCTCTCTGACACAGTGAAGCTGGGTAACTACAAGGCCTGTGTGTTGCACTTTGAGGGGGCACTGGACCGGTCAAAACTGCTGCAGGACGACTCTGCCAGCGAAGCCATCCAGAAGGTCAACACAGACATTCCTATCCTGCTCTCTCACTCTCTCCCTCATCCCTTTCACCATCCATCTCGCCTGTGGTCTTTTCTATAGTCCCATTCAAACTACACTAAAATTCTAAATCGTGCAGGATGCGCAATATGGTTTATATCACAGATGATCACAATTGTTGTTTGTTTGACTAAAGGTATACTCATATGTACTATTGTTCTGCAAATATTTATCCAGTCATTTCAATAGGAATACACGCAACCAGAAATTTTGCATAAGGGTGCTTTACACTATACACACTGATTTAAAGTAGCTTTACAGAAATTCATGGTGCTAATGTTTATAATACCTTAATATCGTAATTCCTTATTGTCACATTTAGCAGATTAAAGCTGAGCGAAAATATAGTTTACATTTTGGGCCAATGCAAGCAATCAAGCAGTTGAGATATGCTATTTAGTAAATATCGCTCTACACAAGTATACTGTATGTATGCTGATGAAGTTTGAAATATTTATATTTCCAATTTTATATAAAGAGCTGGACGAAAATATAGTTGCAGTTGTTATTTGCTATATAGTATATATTGCATTACGCGAATGTACTTGCATACACAAATAAAGTTGGATATAATATATATATATATATATATACTATTTTATATATACTATTTTATATAAAGAGCTGAGCATTGTCTGCATTGTCACACTGCGTAGCTCTGCCAACAGTGAAAATTCATTGGACCCAAGTCCTGCTCCTAGTGCATGTTAAATATTAAATGTGGAGATTGATTGTGGAAGCTAAGACACATATCCAAAATTCTGTCATGAAACTCTAGATGGCGCAGTCCGATAGGCCTAACTCAGTCGGACATAATGACATCATTATCACATGGCACAGCTGATTGGTTCTTTTTTGAGCCAATGAGCTGCTGCTCAACATTAAAATTCTTGGCTGTAGCAGTTGAAGCGTGCTTCAGAAATCCTCCACCTTCCCCAGCTCCACCTGTATAGATCTGCTACGGGGCGATTCATGTATGTTTTATGGGGGTTATTTAATGTATGTTATATGTGCAGCAGCAGTATTTCTTACATGCTCACAGCAGCATGGTTGTGGATGTATTGGCAGTAGCAAGTCTCAGTACTTCTGCCGCAGCAGCAGCGTAGCAGATCTATTCCACCAAGACCAAATACATTAACATTGTCATGTACATTACCATTCCAAACCCTCCGAGAGTTGTCATGACAGAACTGTTATTTTGTAACAAAACCTGAACTTCCATAAGCAGAGCAATTAGTTACTAAATATTTGTAAATAGTAGTTGTTTTGTCATAATATGTGACCCTGGAGCACAAAACCAGTCTTAAGTCGCTGGGGTATATTTGTAGCAATAGCCAAAAATACATTGTATGGGTCAAAATTATTGATTTTTCTTTTATGCCAAACACCATTAGGATATTAAGTAAAGATCATGTTCCATGAAGATATTTTGTAAATTTCCTACTGTAAATATATTAAAACTTTTTGATTAGTAATATGCATTGCTAAGAACTTCATTTGGACAACTTTAAAGACGATTTTCTCAATATTTAGATTTTTTTGCACCATCAGATTCCAGATTTTCAAATAGTTGTATCTCGACCAAATATTGTCCTATCCTAACAAACCATACATCAATGGAAAGCTTATTTGTTCAGCTTTCATAAAAATTATTACAAAACCAGTCATAACCTTATGACTGGTTTTGTGGTCCAGGGTCACATATGAACAGATACTTGTAATATTTACATGCATTCATTGATCAGTTTTCTCGTATGTTATCTGATTCTAGACCATCCCATTCTTCTGATATTATATTTCTTCATGATGCTCTGATATTATTTGTTTTACTTTAATCAACGTCTCACCCTGCAGGCTCTTCGTGAAGCAAGACACAGAGTGACTCAGTAAAATGAGAAACCCCTCTGAATAAAATGGCTGCAATCAACTTCCATCTACCAACAAGACAAGTCAGAACTAATGCATCCCTACTAGTGGAATAAAGTTTGCCTGAGGAACTTTGTGCTGGATTGCAGTCAGTGTTATTGGTGAAGGATTACTTTATGACTGCCTTTTCTGTGCTTGTTTCCATATGGGTAAAATGATGTTTTGCATAGTTTTACATAAACTGTCACAGTTTCAGAGGTATAACAAATCATGTGTTATATTTGTGATGCAGTGTCCAAGTGATGTTGCCCAGATACTGTTAATGTTTTCCAATAGACCCACACATGCTGTGACCTTCTGTTGACATAGAGAAATACTCTTTTAATTCATAATCCAACCATAAAGGTTTGAATTTAAAATCATTAAAATGAGTTTTGACCTCTAATTTTACACTCCACCTATTGAGTCAACAAAACTGAACAGAAGTATAAGTCCTGTCAGAATGCTTAACTACGCATTACTGGCAGTTTGTGTGTGAGAGTATTTTTGTGTGGGTTGTATCTGCTATTTATGCGAACACACCACAAATACTTGTGAGAAAGTGGTCACAGCCAACCTGCGTTTGTTCTGAACTCCACTGTGATAGGCTGAAGCAGCGATTCTTAACTGCAGAACCTGTCAGTGCAATGTCAGAAAGCATAACCACTCAGAAATCCTGCATACATTTCACACGTCCCTCACGGATATCAACAAGACACAGCATGCACACTCCAGCTGTTTTCAATTTGCAGGTATGCTCCTGTATAACTGGCCTGTAAACATGCATTCAAAGAGCATGTGGTGCCTGCAGATCCTTTTTTTATTCTTTACGAACTTCATTTTAAAACAAACAATGGAATTGAATACTTTGATCATTTTGATAGGCATGTATTCATTATAATATATTCTGACAATCATGATTACAAGGACCGTACTGAGTGCTGGAAATCAAGTCCATACTTGTGTGAGGCATGAAAAGCTTGAGAAATGTGTTTGCCTTATCCAAAGATTGTTGCAATATATATTTTATGCAGTAGATACTATCGAACCTGTTCTTAATCAGTGACGGTGTATGTAAATGGAAACAGTTTGTGATGTTTGCTCTAAAAGTAGGCCTATATACAATGATTTTTCGTGGGACAATTATTTTACAAGAATGTTCTGAGAAGTTTATTAAATATAAATGGTAATTTTGGGGGGCGCAATCAAAGGTTCGCAAAATTCTGCAATACAAATTCTCCTTTCGCGCCGCTATTACGGTTAGCTAAACACCAAATATCTAAATTACTTTTTAATTAAACACATTTTTCATGATATATTTGTGATGTGCAAAACTTTAATAAAGTGATGAATAACAAAAGTATTTTAATGCTTTTTTTTTATTGACGTGACCGACCGAAACTGATCACACTAAGAAAGAGCGAGTGCAGTACTATTTCCATACACACACACACACATATATATATATATATATATATATATAGATAGATAGATAGATAGATAGAGAGAAAGGTTGGGGGTCAATAAAGGATATATATACTTTATTGACCCCAGCCTTTCTTGTGTTTCCATTTATATTATGGCCCCCAGTGTTGGGGACTGGAGTAACTAGTTACATGTAACAGATTAACAGAATTACGCAATTTAATTACAAAATAAATGCAACTGTAATCAGTTAGTTACTGAGAAAAAAATTGTAATTAAATTACAGTTACTTATGAAAATGTTAAAGATTACAAAGGGGGTTACTTCTGAATAATTTCACACTCATACAGAATTATTCAATTTCTTTCCCAAATTGCAATGACTGCTCTAAAATATGAGACACCATTGTTTCAGGAGTTTAGGACACATGCTTATTCGATAACTGTTTTATTTCCTATTTGGGTTTATGTATATACTTTAGAATTAAACTGTTTTTTTTCCAAGGCGTTGTTAGATGCCATTGTTCCATATAGCTATGCAAAGATTTGATTTCCAGAACAGTATCATAGCTATTAAACTATTTCTTATGATTTTAAATCTGTATTTAACCTCAGAATGATCTGAAAGTAAAAAGAGGTGCTAAAGTCTGATTTTGTGGTGGCTGTGCTAATCATAAAATTAAATGATTATAATCTTATTTCAAGTGAAGAAGGATTTTGAAAGTCTGACAGTAATCCGTGTTGAACAACTACTGTAAGGTTAACCCTGCCTTAAATGTTTTAAAATAAAGCATTCGTTGGAAAGGTAATCAAATAGTAATCAAATGTAATTAGTTACATTACTTAAATAATTGAAATAGTTACACTACTTATTACATTTTAAATAGGGTAACTTGTAATCTGTAACCTATTACATTTCCAAAGTAACCTTCCCAACACTGATGACCCCCAACCTATTCGCACCATCTGCTAACATTAGGGATGTACAGTGATAGTCATTGTCATTAGCCATTGTTAAGAAATTAAAGTAAAGACTGAACTGTACTGAGTAATTAAACCACGTGATAATCGAGACATTATGATGCACAAAACAATCCGGTGGCTGACGTGCACAGTGAGGCAGCGGGAGCGCGCTCAAAATGTGCCTCTGCTCAGTTTTTTTATCTGCCTCTCCCTTCCGCGTCCGCACTCGCGCGCTCAAGTGCCAGTGGTTTCCGTTTTGTTTCCTGATTATTGCTAGTGCTCGGCCAGGCGGGGGTTTTGCGTAGCGCTCTGGAGAAACGTGCAATTTGGCTGTACGGCGCTTTGAACCTTCAGCCTCGGAAAACGGTGACAGCTTTTCACACATCTGCCAACGTTGTAATCAAGTGAGTTGCATTTACGCAGTTACTTTGTAATCTTGTAGAACGTATTTGGAACCAGTGAGTTTGATTACGCATATCTAACTTTAAGCGAAAACAAAGATTTTAGATGCAACAAAAAAATGGTGTTTCTGGCATGTGCTTCCTTTACCAGCAGCGCTAGGCATTGCCACGCTGATTTGTTTTGTCTGCATGCAGCGTGGCTGGGCACTGCCACTCCCCAATCCATGGCTTTGCATTGTTACCGCTAATTAACTGAGTAAGCTCACTTGGTCGTATTAATTTACGAGTCTCTGTAGATTTAGACATTCACTGAATTAAGTGTAGCCTGCGTTTCTTTTACAGCTACGCACAATTTTTCCACCAAGTTGTCTAAATTCGTGTGCGCAACGTCGTTAAATCATGTAACGTTACCGTTATGTGCGTCGTGTGACCTCTGCTTGATGTGTCGCTACCGTCTGAGTGAATCTACTGGGCGTTTTGGGTTTTCTTTGTCTTCCATAGATCAGGTGGCGTGTCCGAATCTAGTTTGGTCACACAAAGGCTGCGTATTAAAATCCAGTGAGCTGCCTACCTAGACATCAATTGGGCATCAGACATGCTGAACTGACTCGGAACGTGTTTGCTTCTGAGAAATGTTGCCTAAGCAGGCAGCACACTTGATATTAGACACAGCCACAAAAAAGTGGCCTAATGATGTGCAGGTGTTGGTGTCTCACGGCTCACTGCTGGGCTCCTGTAAAACAGGGGCCTGCTTCTGCTTTTCACACACTTTCATCAGAACCTGGGCCGTGTCCAGGGTGAAATTAAAGCTAGTTAGTGTAAAAACCCGGTCACTGCATAGAGAAGTTAACATTTAGTGGCAGTAAGAGGTGCTTTATGAACCCATCATCAGCTGTGAATTGTGTCGCTTGGCTGATATCAAGGTTTGTCATTTGATTAAGCTGTAAAGATTTGCATTGCTCTAAAATGGGGAACAGATGTTTTTTGGCCAGAAGGTGGTGATGACAACTGGTTTCACAACGAAAGCAAGTCATTTGACATCTGATGACTCTCTAACAACCTAATATCTGAGCTACAGCTGTACTTCTGCTTATTAATCTGAAACCCGACATTAGAAGACAGCGATGTGACGGTGCAAAGTATCATTTAAAACCAAAGACTCCCAGCATACAGAGCTTCTACGGTTTACTTCAGGCCTCCATAAAAGAGAAAAAGATGGTAGACAAAGAGAAATATGGATAAAAAGCGAAGGAGTAATGTGTAGGCCAGAAAAAAAAGCAGCTCTTGCATTGGCAGTCCGATGCCTACTCGGATTTCACTAGAAATGCACAGTGGTGTTTTATTTCATATGAATCCGAATGTGCATTGGTCTAAACGGAGCAGTGGTTTTCAGATTTGCTCAGAAGGACGAGAGCTGGACGCTGTACAGAGGTTGCAGAACTAAAATATGCAGTTGTGGGTAGTAAAATTGAAGTTTCCAAGAGCCTACGTGCTGTGAAGTGTCTGAAGAAGTGGTCGTTTTGACTGCCATGTTCAGGTGGATAGTTTCTGTTAATCTTTACCAAGCGTTCCTGGAGCTGCCTGTCATTTAACCCCTTGTTCACATTTGCATCTCATGTAACTCATCTCCTGTACAGAGTAATCTCTTGAAAAAATGCATGCGCACTCTCTCTTTTGTTTATCAGAATCAGCCTGCTGTGTAGCAATGGATGCTGAACAGAATCAGGAAGTTCCAGAGGCTGTTGCTGAGACACAGGAAGTGGCGATGAAACGAGAGGAGAAATCGGAGCCTAAGTCTAAAGAGGTGGCACCTTCAGAACCTCCAAAAGCAGCCCCTGAACCCGAGAAGACCCCAGAGACGGAGCATTCTGCTGTGGGATTGTCAGAAAAGGAGAAAGCGATGGACTCTGAAACTCCTCCTGCCAAACCGTCTGAACCCGAGGTGGCGCTGGAAAAATCTCCTGAGGAAACCCCAACTGCCGAGTCTTCTGAGAAACCCCCTGAGCCAGAACAGCAGAAGAAGTCTGAGGAGCCACAGGTTCAAGTGAATTCTGAGCCTGAGAAGCAGGAGGAAGAAGCTGTGAAAGAGATGGAGCCTAAGAAAGAGGAGGAGCCTGCCAAAGAGGCTGAGTCCAAACCCATTGCTGTGAATGAAGCCAAGCCCGAAGAATCTGATAAAGGTGAGGAGACAAAGACAGAAGGAGGAGAGGATAAGGTACAACCAGAGGCTGATGGAGTTGAAGCTAAGCCTCCGAAAGAGGCAGAGACCAAGCAGAAAGAGCCAGAGCTGCCTTTGTTCTTTGGCTGGTTCCTGCTTCCAGAGGAAGAGGAGCGAATTAAGTGTGCAACCATGGACTTTCTCAAGACGCTGGACACTTTGGAGGCCTTCAAAGAACACATCAGTGAATGTGAGTGGACTGTGTAAACACATACACTTGTGGTTCTCCTCAGAGTTGGTGTGTTTGTAGTGCTGATTTTGATCTGTTTTTTTCCAGTTACTGGTGAGGCGGAGAAAGAAGTGGATCTTGAGCAGTATGATAACTGTTTTATTTCCTATTTGGGTTTATGTATATACTTTAGAATTAAACTGTTTTTTTTCCAAGGCGTTGTTAGATGCCATTGTTCCATATAGCTATGCAAAGATTTGATTTCCAGAACAGTATCATAGCTATTAAACTATTTCTTATGATTTTAAATCTGTATTTAACCTCAGAATGATCTGAAAGTAAAAAGAGGTGCTAAAGTCTGATTTTGTGGTGGCTGTGCTAATCATAAAATTAAATGATTATAATCTTATTTCAAGTGAAGAAGGATTTTGAAAGTCTGACAGTAATCCGTGTTGAACAACTACTGTAAGGTTAACCCTGCCTTAAATGTTTTAAAATAAAGCATTCGTTGGAAAGGTAATCAAATAGTAATCAAATGTAATTAGTTACATTACTTAAATAATTGAAATAGTTACACTACTTATTACATTTTAAATAGGGTAACTTGTAATCTGTAACCTATTACATTTCCAAAGTAACCTTCCCAACACTGATGACCCCCAACCTATTCGCACCATCTGCTAACATTAGGGATGTACAGTGATAGTCATTGTCATTAGCCATTGTTAAGAAATTAAAGTAAAGACTGAACTGTACTGAGTAATTAAACCACGTGATAATCGAGACATTATGATGCACAAAACAATCCGGTGGCTGACGTGCACAGTGCTGCCTGTCATTTAACCCCTTGTTCACATTTGCATCTCATGTAACTCATCTCCTGTACAGAGTAATCTCTTGAAAAAATGCATGCGCACTCTCTCTTTTGTTTATCAGAATCAGCCTGCTGTGTAGCAATGGATGCTGAACAGAATCAGGAAGTTCCAGAGGCTGTTGCTGAGACACAGGAAGTGGCGATGAAACGAGAGGAGAAATCGGAGCCTAAGTCTAAAGAAAGAGCACCTTCAGAACCTCCAAAAGCAGCCCCTGAACCCGAGAAGACCCCAGAGACGGAGCATTCAAATCTGTATTTAACCTCAGAATGATCTGAAAGTAAAAAGAGGTGCTAAAGTCTGATTTTGTGGTGGCTGTGCTAATCATAAAATTAAATGATTATAATCTTATTTCAAGTGAAGAAGGATTTTGAAAGTCTGACAGTAATCCGTGTTGAACAACTACTGTAAGGTTAACCCTGCCTTAAATGTTTTAAAATAAAGCATTCGTTGGAAAGGTAATCAAATAGTAATCAAATGTAATTAGTTACATTACTTAAATAATTGAAATAGTTACACTACTTATTACATTTTAAATAGGGTAACTTGTAATCTGTAACCTATTACATTTCCAAAGTAACCTTCCCAACACTGATGACCCCCAACCTATTCGCACCATCTGCTAACATTAGGGATGTACAGTGATAGTCATTGTCATTAGCCATTGTTAAGAAGCAATGGATGCTGAACAGAATCAGGAAGTTCCAGAGGCTGTTGCTGAGACACAGGAAGTGGCGATGAAACGAGAGGAGAAATCGGAGCCTAAGTCTAAAGAGGTGGCACCTTCAGAACCTCCAAAAGCAGCCCCTGAACCCGAGAAGACCCCAGAGACGGAGCATTCTGCTGTGGGATTGTCAGAAAAGGAGAAAGCGATGGACTCTGAAACTCCTCCTGCCAAACCGTCTGAACCCGAGGTGGCGCTGGAAAAATCTCCTGAGGAAACCCCAACTGCCGAGTCTTCTGAGAAACCCCCTGAGCCAGAACAGCAGAAGAAGTCTGAGGAGCCACAGGTTCAAGTGAATTCTGAGCCTGAGAAGCAGGAGGAAGAAGCTGTGAAAGAGATGGAGCCTAAGAAAGAGGAGGAGCCTGCCAAAGAGGCTGAGTCCAAACCCATTGCTGTGAATGAAGCCAAGCCCGACCCCAACCTATTCGCACCATCTGCTAACATTAGGGATGTACAGTGATAGTCATTGTCATTAGCCATTGTTAAGAAATTAAAGTAAAGACTGAACTGTACTGAGTAATTAAACCACGTGATAATCGAGACATTATGATGCACAAAACAATCCGGTGGCTGACGTGCACAGTGAGGCAGCGGGAGCGCGCTCAAAATGTGCCTCTGCTCAGTTTTTTTATCTGCCTCTCCCTTCCGCGTCCGCACTCGCGCGCTCAAGTGCCAGTGGTTTCCGTTTTGTTTCCTGATTATTGCTAGTGCTCGGCCAGGCGGGGGTTTTGCGTAGCGCTCTGGAGAAACGTGCAATTTGGCTGTACGGCGCTTTGAACCTTCAGCCTCGGAAAACGGGGACAGCTTTTCACACATCTGCCAACGTTGTAATCAAGTGAGTTGCATTTACGCAGTTACTTTGTAATCTTGTAGAACGTATTTGGAACCAGTGAGTTTGATTACGCATATCTAACTTTAAGCGAAAACAAAGATTTTAGATGCAACAAAAAAATGGTGTTTCTGGCATGTGCTTCCTTTACCAGCAGCGCTAGGCATTGCCACGCTGATTTGTTTTGTCTGCATGCAGCGTGGCTGGGCACTGCCACTCCCCAATCCATGGCTTTGCATTGTTACCGCTAATTAACTGAGTAAGCTCACTTGGTCGTATTAATTTACGAGTCTCTGTAGATTTAGACATTCACTGAATTAAGTGTAGCCTGCGTTTCTTTTACAGCTACGCACAATTTTTCCACCAAGTTGTCTAAATTCGTGTGCGCAACGTCGTTAAATCATGTAACGTTACCGTTATGTGCGTCGTGTGACCTCTGCTTGATGTGTCGCTACCGTCTGAGTGAATCTACTGGGCGTTTGTGAATTCTGAGCCTGAGAAGCAGGAGGAAGAAGCTGTGAAAGAGATGGAGCCTAAGAAAGAGGAGGAGCCTGCCAAAGAGGCTGAGTCCAAACCCATTGCTGTGAATGAAGCCAAGCCCGAAGAATCTGATAAAGGTGAGGAGACAAAGACAGAAGGAGGAGAGGATAAGGTACAACCAGAGGCTGATGGAGTTGAAGCTAAGCCTCCGAAAGAGGCAGAGACCAAGCAGAAAGAGCCAGAGCTGCCTTTGTTCTTTGGCTGGTTCCTGCTTCCAGAGGAAGAGGAGCGAATTAAGTGTGCAACCATGGACTTTCTCAAGACGCTGGACACTTTGGAGGCCTTCAAAGAACACATCAGTGAATGTGAGTGGACTGTGTAAACACATACACTTGTGGTTCTCCTCAGAGTTGGTGTGTTTGTAGTGCTGATTTTGATCTGTTTTTTTCCAGTTACTGGTGAGGCGGAGAAAGAAGTGGATCTTGAGCAGTATTTCCAGAACCCATTGCAACTCCACTGCACTACAAAGTTCTGTGATTATGGGAAAGCAGAGGGGGCTAAAGAGTATGCAGAGCTACAGGTTAGTTTTCCAAACAGGCCATTTTGTTAGATATGTCATATCATGTAGTGCAAATGTAAGTGCTCTGATGTGTTTTGTGAATAAGATCCCTGCTTGATTATAATATTATTGCACCCAATAACTAATATGTTGGCAAAATTAACTCTTAACTCTTAATTAATATCAACAACTTCTCTTGTTTTCCAGTATGAAATATTACACATGTAATATTAAAGTTAAAAATCAGTCATCATAACATTGACAGGGGAAGCCCCTTTATATTATCAGCTTCCAGTATCAGCAAATTCAGACCAATACTGATAATTAAATATTACTAATATCTGCCAGTACTTGTATGGTATATAATGTCACGTTCCCTGAAATTGTTAGTGTATGCTTTGCAAATTTGCCATATAAGTGTCTGATATATATTGAACACTTTACAATTGAAATAAATTACAATGAACTTTTTTTTATAGCCTGAAATTTTTTTTTTTGAGTGAAATTTATAATTATCTGTTTCTGTTAATTTATGCTTTTTGTCTGTTCTTTACCTCCTTTTTAATGTTTATTTACCTTTTGTAGCTGATTTTACCCGTTTCCTGCCATGCTGACATAAACAAGAGTTAATTTACATTAAAACTGATTAATGCCATTTTTTATTTGGTTATGAAATTAATTAATAAATGTTCATTTATTAAACATGAAATGTTCATTTATTAGCATACGTGGAAATTAACTTGAACTTAGATTAGTAAGTATGAGTTTATTTTGCACAATTTAAAAATATGCATGATATTTTATTAGATTGTACAGTACTGTTTTTAATGTAAATAGACAACGGTTTTATTCAGAGGTGTTTAACTGATTTATTTAAAAATGTATCACCTGAATGTATTTTAGGTTGTGTAGATTTGAAATGTCTTTTATAACTTTTTGTTAATTGTATACCTTGTGTAATTTATTCTGAGATCGCCGTGAAAATAGCCTTGATGCTGGCATGGCATTAAAAAGTGAATAATAATAAAAATATACATTAATGAAATTGCAAGAGAATAATTATCTTTATATACAGTGCATGGAAAGGCGGAAATCCCAGAAGAACTTATTTAAAGCCTTCACCTAAACAATATTACATTTTCAAAAAATTATAAAGAGAACTGAATCAAAATGCAGAAATTAATATAATGTCATCCAACAAAAAAAGTAACTATAAATCATAAAAAAAAAAAAAAACCGTAAACGTGTCAGTATACAAGTGCAAGTATGTGAATGTAGATTAATGAATGCTGAAAAATAGTGTATTGGTAGTTCGTGAAACCTAATGCATTAACTAATGTTAACAAATCGAACTTTTTGTAAAGTGCTACCAAATATTAATACAGTACTTATTTGACCATATTTTGTCTTGCAGGTGGTCAAGGAATCCCTTGCCAAATCTTATGAGCTTTCCGTCACTGCTCTCATAGTGACCCCTCGTACGTTTGGGGCCCGTGTGGCTTTGACAGAAACCCAGTTGAAGCTGTGGCCCGAGGGAGCAGACAAAGAAGGGGTCGCTCCGGCCCTCCTGCCCAGTGTAGAGGCTCTTCCAGCGGGTAGCCGTGCCCACGTCACATTAGGCTGCTCGGCCGGCGTTGAGGAGGTTCAGACCGGTTTGGATTTGCTGGAGATCCTGGCTCTGCAGAAGGAGGGCAAGGAGGGCACCCAGGTCGAGATGGACTTGGGTACTTTGACCTACCTGAGCGAGGGCCGCTGGTTCCTCGCCCTGAGGGAACCGATTACCGCAGATACCACCTTCACTTTCGCAGCTTTAGTGTGTGCACAGGGATGGCTTGGGATGATTTGGCAGGCAGTGTGAGACCAGATGTTCCAAAGTGGCCTGCTGGCTCCCGGCTTTCTCTTAGCTGGTGCCTTTTTTCCTTTTGCCTGGCAACACAAGCTCAGAGGCCTTAGTATCTGCCTTAAGGTCATGGATCACTCTGCTGGAAAGTTCACTCTGCGTTAGGTGCTAGTTCACTTGGCTGTTTGGCCGCCACACCATCCCTGTTCCCTTTACACAGGTACATCCACGATCGGTCTTCCTTACACGTGACACTCATGTAGAACACTTAGATTTAGCACAACTTTACTGGTTTGATTAACTGATTTATACTCCTTTCCAGCCGAGTTCTTGTTGATTAGTCTAGATACATGGTTTCACATTCAGTATCTTTAGAAGATATGCATTCTAAATTTACATTTAGATCTTCGAGTTCATGAAATAGAGCACCTTGATCCTTCATCACAGGAAGTTTTGGCATAGAGTATAAATTTGTTAGTTTAGTATGTGATTCTTCGGTGTCCCTCTCTTTCTTCGGCCTTTGTGGAGCTGATAATTTCCAAGAATTCATGCTGCACCGTTGTTATAATCCCACCGATAGTGATCTGTTGTGTGTGTGTGTGCATGCCTTTTGCCAAAAAGAGAAGAAAAAAAAACACGACATGGTTAATCTCTCTCTCGCAATCACGTAAAATTAACCAAGGTTTTTCTTTTTATCAAATAAGATTACATACTCTCTGTGACATGTTTTTAGGCTAAAGTGTGCATGTGTGTGTATGAAATAGTGTTCTCTCCTAAACTTATCATTTACACAGTGTTGGTCAAACCATCAGAGACCCCTTTTGAATTTACAGCCCGTCACGTCGGATGAGACATGCCTGTACTTCTCTTCATTATATCTGTACGATCAGCTCTTTCATAAACCAGTATATTCACATGTGATGGTACATTTACTCTCTCTGTCTCACTCATTCTTATCAATTTTGAAAAAAAAAAAAAAAAGTGCACTCTAAATACTGTGACAAGCATCTATCTGGTGCCTTCCTCTTCTGTAGGTTTCTAGATGGCCGAAGCCATGCTTCTTATAGGTCTCTAACATCAAGGCACTCAATTTTTGCACTTGCCTTGTTTTTCATTTTTTGTACACTTAATAAAGAATGTGCTTGGCTCTGACAACCCTGGTGTTCTGTTCTTGCTGTTAGTGAATTATGTTTTTAATGTTTGAAGGATTGAATTTATTAGTTGGCTTGTTCTAATTAAGGATGTGTGTAATCATTTGTTCCAAATGGGTGGTTTCATGCTCATTCCACTTCAAATAGATTCCACCTTTGCACAAATTGGCAAATGCGTAACTGCAGCAAACGTCTGGTTCCTAATCGGCACCGGTTTCTGGATTCATAGGAAATTAAATTATCTTAAAAATGCAGGCTAAGTAACTATAGCTTAAGTGGCTCGTGAATACACAACCTCTTAATTATTGACGGCATAAGTGCATCTTCCTATTTAGTTCGTTTCACAGTAAATTTGCCAGTAGGGGGCGTTTGTCTCCACTAAAAGCTAGATGGAGCATATTGCCAATATTGCAGCTGTAGCTCAACAGCTAGTGAGTTGACCAACCAGAGAGGCAAGAATATGTTGGTTTTGTCTTGGTATAAATAATCCCTCCCACGCATATTTATCTCTCTCTGACATGCAAGATTTAACTTGTATCGAGGTGATCATTTCCCTAAATATGGTTGAGGTGGGTGTTTGTTTGAAGAAACACCATCTACTGTATGTCTGGATGGTGTGGCTTATACACATCCTCAGTGATGAACTCTCTCTCTCTTTCTATATATATATATATATATATATATATATAATGTGTGTGTGTGTGTGAATGAACAACTGTGCAGCCTTTATGTAACCGAGATGCCATATTGAATATAACACTGATGAAAACAAGACTGTGAGGGGTAGACATTCAGACTTTACAATGGCATGCACTGTATATAAGTCCTAAATCGTGTAATTTTCACATATTTTGTCTACTGAAAGATTTTTGTTTCATCAGCTTAATAATTGGTATGTTGTTAAACAACAGTACAATCCATTGAGCACATTCTACTTCTATCCCTCACAGACTCGTTTTCATTCCTGTCAAAAATAAAATATAGCCTACCACTACCCGACTAAGGTCGATGCCACACTAGTAATCTTGTGGTTTCCAAACTGACTTATCAGAGTCTTGCTTCTGCAAACACTGTTGACATCCAGTGATCAATGGTTATGTTTCTATTTAAAGCCTGTAATGTCTGTTTTGTAAATTCAAGTTGAGTCATGTCTCTTGGACAGAGCCTTTCAAACCCATTAACTGATGCTGCTGTGGACAGAGGAGCCAAAGTGCATTAGCAACAGCCAGTGCGGCAGTGCCCTTTGTAAAGGCCAATTAATTCACCTGAAAAGCTTTGATTTTATCTAACGTGGTGCATTAGATATGAAGCTAATTTAATTTTAAATGACTCTTGTGCAAAAGAAAGGAATGTGCTGCCTGGGGAGCCTGACTTTGAGAAAGCCTCTGCTGGATTTGTGTATATTGATTAATGATTCAGTGTTTGCTAAGCAAATGTGAACATTATTTTGTGAAAATAATGGTTGTTGTTTTGTTCAGTACTTGTTGTAATATTCAAAGTGTTACTCTTGTTGCTAAGCCCTAGTCAAGTGATTATAAATTAAATACTCTATTACATTGATTATGGTTTTCATATGTGACCAGACTGTGCGTGCAGTATGGCCTATGAGTATGGCGCAATTTCTAGCAATGATTGTTTACTTGTCTGGCAAAATGGAAATGTGACCCTAGACCACAAAACCAGTCATAAGTAACACTATTTGTACCAATAGCCATGAAGATATTTTGTAAATTTGGTAAGAACTTCATTTGGACAACTTTAAAGAGAACTTTAATTTTTTTCAATATTTTGACTTTTTTTTTTTTTTTTTTGCACCCTCAGATTCCAGATTTTCAAATAGTTGTATCTCGGCCAGATATTGTCCTATCCTAACAAACCATACATCAATGGAAAGCGTATTTATTCTGATTATTTCAGATGATGTATACATCTCAATTTCCAAAAATTGGCACTTATGACTGGTTTTGTGGTCCAGGGTCACAAATGATTGTGACAATTAATTTTAGAAATCGCCACTTTCAAAACTCAGTCCACATTGCACATTTGGGTCGTTTTCCGGCGTTGCTAAATGCCCGATGACGCAGCCTGATTGGCTGGACGAGGCAGAATTAGCCAATCAAACCCTGGTCCGATGAAACGTTCACTGTTCGAGTAGGCGTGGCCTCGCATCACAGCGGATGGCGAGAGCCAATCAGAGACAGAAGAGATCAGCCAAGGCCATCGTCAGATGTCGGCGTAGAGAAAACAGGAAAAGCTGAGCGCATAGTGAGGGAGGGAGCAGCCACGCTGTCTGTCTGGAGGAAAAAGTGTCTCCTGCAACCATATCTCGCCTGTCAACTCTCTCAGACAGACTCAGTGCACTAGGAACTCCCTGAAAGGACAAAACCTGCTGTCATTAAGAGTACATAGACCGGTAAGTGGCTCAAAACCTCAGCGTACTAGTAGTACAAACCGTGGCTATTGAAAACAGTCTCTCATTTGCAAGTACATTTAGCGAAATATAAGAAACCGAGAGTAAAAAACGTACAGTGACACAGCTCTTTTTGCTCAAAACACTGACTGTATAGATCAGGGTGAAGGACTCTAGCGCAGCTTATCTATATTTATTGTCATGTTGATCGTGAATATCAGTCATACATGACACCAGTACAGAGACAGGTTCTACTGGTCTTTACCTGTGATTTAAATGAACGAATGGCTTCGTTAACACCTTTCACGTATACGGAAGTGTCAAAACAAAACAAAACACACAAGACGCATTCAAACTAATTAATTAAATTCAGCTCATTTCCTTTAGTTAATTAGAGTCTAGGCTAGAGACAAGATGTTTGTCCTGAATGGCAGGCAGTTTAAACATATTCCTTAACTTTCTAGTATTGATTTTATTTGACTAATAGTTTGGTTTAATTATTAGTATGTAATTAAATTGTGACCAGTGTCATTTTTTGCTTTTACAAGCTGCTATAAATTAAATGTGGCACTTGCACACTGCTACTATTTTCATTAGTGAGTGATAGCTATTCAATTAGTCACCAGTGTACTGTATATTGCAGTTGTGACTAATCAATTAGTTACTTGTGCATTACTTGTACTTATTCTCTTGCTACAAGTCACTATCCCAGTAGTACCAATTAACTGTTCCTATCAATTAACTGTTCCATTGTTAATAGTGACTAATAGCAAAGGGATTAGGATTTGTGTTTTGTAAATAATTACTAGTGACACTGAGTCATGAGTGCGTTATTGGCTAGTGATTAAAATATAACAAGTACTAGTAAACATATCTAACATACGGATTCGTTTGACAGGAATAAATGTTTAAATGGATTTCTGTAGTCAGGAATTTAATTAAAGTAAATTAAGTCAATCATCTTTTGGATGAAGCATTATATAAACTTGAGCTTAAATAATGAAGATCCATCCATGCATTAGATCAAAGAGATCAGTGAGGATGGAAATAAGATTTAATAACGCCTGTCATAAACACTGCAATTTGGTCTTTAACGTTATTCATATGTAACAGGTCTAATACACCTTTGAATCAGATAAATGTGTTGGGTTAGGAGTGTAATAAGATCAATATCTTTACTGTGAAACCCCCTGCTCCTCCTCGCATCCTTCCGATGTGATGAATGATACCGCTGCTGTTTTGTGAGCGAGCGAAACGCAGTTATAAATCAGTTGCATCACTACTAGTGACACGCACAAGTCCTTAACCAGCTGTGCAGTGCAGAATGAGCGTGTGCATGCAACTGGCCAGCACTTACTGAAAAGTACAGCAGTATTACCATCACCGTACCATTGTAAATGGAGTCAGATCAGGTCACTGGTAATTCTGTGTGCGCTAGGATCAATACTAATAAAACACTCTGCAGCGCTATCGGTTAGATAGGAAAGTACATGGCACATCCATTGCTGTAACTGAGACTATCTACTGAATCTAGAGATACACTGCTAGTTTTTCTTTTGCTTATCCATCTTACAAAAATGTACCATTATAACCTTTGTTTCTGTCAGTAGTTATTGCTACTATCCCAAAACAGTAATAAGTTATTATGGTATCTTTGCCAGTCAGTGTAAGCTGTCATAATTCTAGTGTAATTTCTGGTTTGATTAAATTGGTTAATGGATAGTTACTGCCGTTTTAGTGTGGTGAAACAATGTTTCTGTATGGTATTTTTCTTCATGCAGTGGTCACAGTAGGATATTTTGTAAGAGATGTGAATCAGTAGACGTCAACTTACCGAAAAGGCTGGTACTTTAAAAACAATTAGTGTACAAACAATTTTCACTTAGAAATTGGTACATTTTAAAAAATAATTACAAACAATTAGCAAATAACACATTGAATTAAAAATGAAATTTTGAAGTAGAAAGACTGGAATTGTAGTTTCTTGCAATACATACTCCAAAAATGCATACTCCTTTATTTTTTATTTACTTTGAAAAGTAGATTTTACAGTGTATAAAAGCATTTTAAAGACCAGTTTTAGGGTGTGAATTATGGAACCTCTTTTTTTTTGGACAGAGTCGGTGTTGCCTTCACAAAGTTGTATTGGTTTTCTGTGCTTGTGTTGTGCTTAACTTATTTTACATCACTGGTCTGTGAGTCCAATATGGCCAGTGCGATGACTCCTCACTTCCTTCTGGCCAATGTTTGCGGTGATGCTGGATGTCAAATCTAGATGTACACTGATACAGCAATGTGTGAGTGAGGCATTGTGTGTGTTTTTTGTTTTTCTGTGTCTTTTTATCAGAACAATGCTAAATACAGAAGTCTTTAAATGCAATGTTTTCTTTTCAGTCTGTGCATTTACAGCACTCTAGTGAGTTGGGTGGGTGATGTGCAGGGAGGGTTCTGCATGGGGGTGGAGCGCTCCTCTCTCTTCATTAGTAAATTGCCGGGTCAAGGACTGGACTGTCTTCTACAGTAACTGAACACTCTGTTCTCCTCGCCACATGCATCCTCATTAATTCTCATTGCAGAAGAGGAGCGGTGAAAAA